TAAATTAACGTATTTTCATGCCATAAATATAGCTCACGTGGCTTTAGCTCATTTGTGAGATGGTGTCGTAAAATGTGAATAGCGTATTAACAAAGGCCTTATTTCGCAGCTCTACATGATCTGTTTCCTGCAACGCATAAAATCAAGATCACGCGAAATCTCCCGCCTGACGTCATCTCAGTCAGCAAATCTAATTATCCCGGCCAGCATCTGGGTCAGCCTCGAGTCTTCGACATCGGCGTCACACTTTTGACTTCCCGCCAACTCGCAGGCGGCCATCTTGCCACGCCTCAAGCCAACTCAGTCTACCGACGCTCATCCGTGAATATTCAGTGAACTTTGCTGTGAAGTGTGATATACTCAATTAACTCTCATTCTGATAGTCAGTGAATTCTAGCTGTGAACGTAGTCAGTTAATCAACTCAGTGAATTCTCGCTGTGAACTTAATTAGTCAACCAACTCAGTGAATTCTCGCTGTGAACTTAATCAGTCAACCAACTCAGTGAATTCTCGCTGTGTACCTATTACGTTGACTAATAATATCATGTGAACTCAGTTAGAGAACTTTCGCTAGAGACACTCTGTGAGCTATAGGCACAACGAGCACGTCCAGTAAAGTATATAGTATGTGAGCTTTCTACGCGCACGCTCAGTTAACTTCGTCAACCTCACAACGTGCGTCGAATAACCTCCCCAACGTCTCGCCACTCAACCACGTGTATATCAACGCAACAACCCAACAACGGTGGCCGTGGCCCGTGGACCCGCATCAACCTCCTGCATCAAAACGAGCAGGTCACGTGAGCTGAGCTAATAAATAACCTAACAATTTATTGTGTGTTCATTTCTCCCAATCAAATTCGTCCTGCCGATCTCTATATTTCTGTCTGTGCCTTGGTGAATAATTCAAGTTAACTAGCTAGGCCGGTCAATTCTCTGATTGGAGTTTATAACTTAATGTGGAGTGGTAAATGAAAACCCCCACAAATGGACCACCACGATATGCTTTTACTAAATGAGTTTTACGCTCGAGTCCGCCTGTGAGTTTTAGAAATTTCGATACAGTAATTTTTCTATAAACAATTTAATTTATCAGTTGTATTCTGCATCATTTGCTCATCTCAAATTTCAATACATAAGTGTTCATTTATGATCATTTGCAACCAGTGGTTAAAAGTTCAGAGTAGCAAGACTGACGCACTAAAGAGGCGCGGGTCCGATCCCAGCTCTGTGCGACAGTTTCTGCTGGTCAGAATCGGCAAGGAGGCCGGGCGGTTAAGCACAGCAGAATTGTAGCAGTGCGTTGCGAGTTCGAGACCTCAAAATGCTGTGACTGTTCTGCGATGTTAACAATCGGCGACAGGCCTACGGCCTAATAAACGCTGAAACCGCTTTTATTATTATTATTATTATTATTATATGAAGCATGGCTTATAAATGTACAGCTATCGACTAAATGAATGTCACTAACGAGTGACGTGGAAGAATGTAGTGTTTGCATTCCTGTAACATAAGAATTGATGAAACAATCTTTTTTGGATTATTATAAAGGCTTTTAATTAATTATATATCAATTCAATGTTCGGCAGAACCATAAATGGGAATAACCGTCACCTGTTTCGACCGTCACTAGATGAAATGAGTTATTTACGAGTCGTCTTTATTATGATATGAAATTAGCAGAGGGCGTGTAACTTTAATAACATACACAAACTAAGACTCTGCAGACTAATTAGGTACCAGTAGTTGCTTCATACCAACTCACGCAATAACAATGGTTGGAAATGATTGGTTGAATGATGACCCTAAACGTTATCCCTAAAGTACTGTTTAAAAAGCGACAAAGGTGACGAGTTAGTAAATTATATATTGAATACCAAAATTAATTATAAATAACGTTTTGATTCTGTCAGTGGTGCTAAAAGAGTAACGTAGTTTGATTAACCGTCAGCAAGCACAACTTTTACGTTACAGAACGAGGATATTCAAGGCACAAATGTTACAAAGAAATTAATTAATTTCACTCAGATTCAGTCCTTGGTCATTTCCGGTTACCATAGCAACAGCGGATGCGCACAACACACGGGCCAGTGGCCAAACACGTTTATTTTGCGTTCGCGCTCGTCTGAACTGTGATTAAAGTAAGACTTGATCCTTTTAAACTTTCCGTATACATTTTCATTTTTCAATGATATTAGTAAGATGACAGGCCACTATTACTGCAAACCATTCATCTCCCGTTCCTTCATACATCGCGCCATCACCCTAACTCCTCTCATCCAGTAGCACTCTCATCACTTCCAGTCTTTCTCTCTGAATTCTATTAAGCATCACACTCCATCATCACACTCCATCATCACGTGTTCGACGGTTTCTTTTTATCTGTACAGCCGTGTATTCCCATTTAGGGCATTTGTTCGCACTCAGGACACCAGGCCACCACCCTTAGTGCCTTTATATATATGTGCATTCATACCTTATCATTTCTTTCATCTTTTATAGTTTGAGGGTGTGGAAGATCTCGTCCCATATGACCCATACTTCTCACGTCACCGTTGAAACTAATAATCTGTTTCATGTAGAAAATACGGAATTCCAAATTTCAAGTGCAAAGAATTTCATACAATCATAATAATACTCTATGGTCATTCGCTTGTGTGTCAAACGATTACGATGTAATATGATTTTACGAGAAAAATAAAAACATTTCATGACAAAACAAGTACAGATAAGCTTCGAAGTCTTTCTTAGAATGTGAGTTGTCATGGCAACCATTCAGAGAAGCTGGTCCAAACAATAGTTGCACTTTGTTGCAAAAACTCTTCTCATTAGCGCATTTTCTCGTTTATTGAAAAAATGCACTATTGTGCTCGCCATGTCCGTCTGTCTGTCTGTTCGTCCGTCCGTGACCTCAAGTTTTCGTCGACGAGAAAATGCGCTCTCTGTCACTCACTGCAGTGAGTACCGAGTTATATTCTCAATAGGGAATTGCGCCGCTACGTATTTACGAAGACAGGTAGTCCCTAATACCTAGACTATGTATTCTGCGATGTTCATTTACAAGTTTCAAACTCGGGCCTCTTTATTTCACCAACTAAAATTCTTATATTTTTATTACACTTCTCTTTGTTTTAGCAGTAATTTTTTTACTGAATTATGTCATGGCAGTTAACGACCACGCAGCCAGCCAGTAAAAAATATATATTTTTAATCAGTTTTGCTAGGAATTTTTACCTGATTTTTTTTCAGAGAAGATGCCTCTGAAAAGAGAGGCTCAAAACTTTAGCGATATCGCATCCACTTCTAATCTGGAAGACGATGTGAGCAACTCTATTCCTATTGACTGGCAGAAGCTGGCTAGCATTGAGCTTTCAGAACTTGCATCAGCAAAGGAAATCAGCTCGTCGCTTCTTTCGGACCATTTGTTGTACATCTCCATGTGCGATGCAGGGAAAGAATTAGACTTGACGAGACCGTCTGACCAAAAATCTTTGCTGAAACTGTTTAGGATCGCCCAGATGCTTCTGCAGCTGGCTTCTTCGAGACAAAGATGCCTCGAACAAGAACTTGCCAAAACCAAACATAGTCTTGTTTCCTACGTGGATAAATGCACACAGGTAATGTACAACGTGATAAAAAATATCAAAATATTCAATAGAAAAATAGTTTTCATGAATATTTTCTTATGCTATTTTTGGGCATCTTAACTACAAATAAAACTTTGCAGTATTAAATTATGCTATTTATATCTTTGAGCTAAAAAATCAAATTTTTTTCAGATTAGAAGCCAACTACATCAACAAGTTTCGGAAGCAAAAAAGATGAAAATCACTAACAAAAACTTACGAGAAACAGTGAAACACATTAATACGGTCGCAATTAGCAAAGGTCTGCTACAACCGGTGAAATGTGATTCATGCTTCAAAATTTTCAGAGATAAAAGCTTCTTGGAAGCTCACCAAGCGCGCAAGCATCAGATGCGGCAGCCATCTTCCGTGTGCAGAGCATCAGATTGTACGCAAATGCTTCGGCAGCTCAAAAATTCTGATAACACGAATGAATTCGGTGAGCAACGAACGCCCGCAGGATCGACGCAAAGAAAGAATGACGAATCAAATGAAATCGAGTTATTTTTCGACAAAATTTATAATTGTGCCGAAATGAAAAACAAGTCGAGTAGTAGATCCCAAAAGGAAGAAAAGCTATGTATGAATGCTATAGACGCGTCATCTCTGCCCGGTGCATTCAGGACTAACGAAGAGCCTACCACAAGTAAACAGCTAGCAGCAGTACAGCAAACCTGTGAACAGCTGCAAACCAAAATGAAAGAAATGATGGCGAATTTCAAGCAAAGAGAAGTAGAATTTAAGGCTGAACATGAAAGAATAAAGGATGAATACCTCGTAGTAAATAGTGAGAAATTAATTCTCGAAGAAAAGTTTCGAGCACAATTTGATATCATGAATTCCAAGATAAAAAATTTGGAAGAGCTTACTGGAAAACTTGATCCATTGAAACAAGGAACTTCCTCCTCGGCTCTCACGGAAGAGGGTAAGCTACAGTATCGTTTTCAATATAATGAATGCCATGACGACGACAGTGAAATTCACAAAAAGAAATCTAATTGTGATTTAGAAGTCGTTATCAATACCAGAGATGCAATGAATGAATCATCACAGTCAGCGACACAAGCAAAATTGATAGCTAAAAAGCTAATCGACAAAGAGAAGAATGACATCGAATCAGAAGGATTGTACAACTATCACGGTAATGTCGCACTGTCATCAATAACTGAAAATTCTGCAGAAACTGAAGAGAATTGCTCAAAAGAAGATAGCATATGCGATGTGAAGTCTCTTTCCTTAGACGAAAACAGTGAATTTTTAAGAGAAGAGAATCCTTATCACCCAGAAGATGCAAAAAAAGATGAAATTTTTAGTAAAAACACGACTAAAAACAGACGTAGTAATGGGCTTCAATTTAAAAACTTACCTCCTAGACCTCCGTCACAAGCAAAAGAGAGACATGAAAGAGTGCGTTTCCTCGAGAGAACCGCTGATAATTCGATTAATTCGGAAACAACTGCTTCAGAAGAAAAAGGAGCGATGGCTGAACGAAAAACTGGTGGCAAGGATGACATGTCAGAAAGTAGTGAATCAGACAGCCAAGAGTCATCCAATCAAAAAACTAAAAAAATTTACGAGCGGAGATCCCAGGATTCCAATAAAATAGCCTCAGAGTTCAATAAAATAAAAAATGACGAATGGAGTTCACCTGATACTGACGATGAAGCAGAAGACCTTAATAAAGTTGAGTGTAAGAAAGATTCTGACGATGATGAAGATTCGGGTACAATTAAGGACGCAAGTGAACAGCGATTTGACGAGATTTTAAAATCAAATCCTGAGATATGGACGCAGCTGAGATCAGCGACCAAACAGGTGGTTGACGGCCGGCTCGTTGCCCTCAATATCCACGGTAGAGTCGACGAAGAGTCGTACAAAAAAGCTGCACGGGAGCTGAAACGTCAGAGAAACTCAATAGCGAGAAACTATTCAAATTTTCGTAAGCTTAGAAAAACTCTCCATCACGAGGTGAAAGCTAAAATAAAATTGCAAATGAAAACACAGTTTGAAGAACGGAACGAGAATGTTCGTGACAAATCTAAGAGCAAAACAAAAACATTTTCAATGTTTAAAAGTGTAACTCACAAGGTCAAGTCAAACATGGCAAAGAAGTCGCATCGTGTAGAAAAGATAACTGATGCTGCATACACCGCCCATATGCCCTCATCAACTGCGCAAATTCCACAAGTCAGCGACGACACGGCTAGCAGTCACAGTGAAAATGATGAAGACAATGACACCGTGGACCAGATACTGCAAGACACTGTTGATGATAATATTCTCACCAAAGGAGAAAATGTAGTGGAAGACAACGCTAAAAAGAAAATAAGAAAAGGCCACAATGATGAGAATTTATGTGGGGTAGATAACTTCGCATACGTCGCATCAGGAGAAAGCGAACGTGACGAAGAAGAGGCTAGTGAACTGAGCAACGACGATACGTCAGTGAAGGGCATCGATAACTTGGCTTATTCCCATTCAGTAGCTGAGAGTTCCTTCGATAAACATGAGGACGAAATCGAAGACTTCACAGAATATTCATCTGAAGAATTTAGTGAGGCCAAACCTGTAGAACCGTTCAGGCCACGAGTACAAGTCGAGAAATTGTTGACGACCAAACCGGATGAACCGCTCAGGCCACGAGTACAAGTCGAGAAATTGTTTAAGACATCTGATCTCAGGACGCTACAGGATGAAGATAACACGGAAAGTTTCGATCAAAACGCGGACGCCGTCTTCGAAAATTACCGAGAACAGGAGTATAAGCCAATTAAACTCAAGCAACCCACAGGCCAACGTATAATACAACTGAAGGCGAAAATCGAGTCCCAATTACAACAACGACGAAAGAAAGGACCAGCAGGCTCAGTAAATACAGTGTTAGAAGATCAAGATGGCTCTGATTCACAAGATTCAAACTCCGAGGACCGTCCAGACTTTGACACTAAAGTGGAGGCATTCGATGTTTCATCTGATACATAGGCATACGATATAGAGATTGATTTCAGACAAGTAGACATGACGGTTAAAAAAATTCGACGTTGCATTTAGTTAATTTCATGTGGAAAAAAACAGATGAAAAGTAATTGGGTATTTTATTATACATGATAAATTATTTATCATACAGCGCTTCCAAAGGGAATCCGTTCTTCCACTCGACTCCTGAAAAATTGACCCGAAAAATTATTAATATTTATAACTAAAGTATCACTTATCAGAATATTACAAAAATTTTATAGCAGATGCACGAAAACCATACCGTAGTGCATCATTTATAATCTTTTATAACGAAACACCTGATTTGTCAAGATTCTACGTCCTATTTTACTTGAAATAGCACCAGTTTTTATACAAATAAAGCACACTCGTAAATTGACTTTCATTCACATACACTCTTAATCTCAAGTGACGTGTGAAATATAAGAAATAAAATAAGCAGTCGTACACAATTATGTTGCTTAAGAGCAATTACGTCATTATCATAAATAAATGGAGTGACTAGCTGGAATGATATTAGTTGACAAATCACTAATTTATCACTCGATAAAATTCGTCAGGAAATTGAAATTAAACAAAAATTTACGATCATGGCCATGCGAATTTCAGGTTTCTCGCGCAACGGAAGTAGCAGCAGACAGATACGAAGACCAAGGAGTCATACTATCCAAACTCGCTTAAGTAAATGTGGCGGCCTAAATACACGTAGCGGCCTAAGTACACTTAGAGGCCTAATTACACGTAGCGGCCTAAGTACTTTTAAGAGTCCGAGTTCTTGTCCGTAATTGTGGATTTAGTTTGAAAAGATGCTAGTAATTACCTGGCGGACGTACAAACTCTTAACTAGTACGGTAGGTACTTGGAGATACAAGGCAGCAATAAGCTGCTCTACTAACTGAGACTTGTCTTGGTCTGGCTGCCGTCGGCTCCATACCTCAAGTTAGCACGGCTCCCAATGAATCCTGAGGCAGTAAAACAGAGACATAAAAAGAATCACTCATAACACAAGAGATAGTGGGACACACATTCCGGATTACTTGAAGCGGTCATAATTACATACAAAATATAGAAAGTACACGCCAACGCTAAGTGTGAACGATAAGTCATAGTTTGAGACCCAGATTATCAAAAACTCACAAGAATGTAATTATGCCTTGCCTTCAAAGTTTATAATAAGATGACAGTGAAGAGGACGATGGATTCAACTCAAGAAGGCCATCACTCAGGCTCAGGCTCTCGAAGTCCCTCGCTGGCGCGTGTGCGACCGATCATGTCGAGCATGGCACGCGCTTCAGGGTTGCGGTCCAAAGCGCTGCGTTTCTTTGTTTTCTGCTTGTCCTGCTCATAAAAACAGCAATTTTTATAATAATAAAACATCCTGCAATTAAAAACAGCAGTTTATGCTATAATAAAATATCATGCTCATTAAAACAGAGACTTTTATTATAATAAAATATTATACTCATAAAAACAACAATTTTTTATTATAGTATAATATTCTGGCAATAAAAACAACAATATTTATTATGAAAATATCCTGCTCATAAAAACAGCAATTTTTATTTCAATAAAATATTCTGCTCATAAAAACAGCAATTTTATTATAATAAAACATCCTTCTCATAACAGCAATTGAAACGGTGACAAATACCATAGAAAGACTGTCACATAGAATACCAAGGTGAATATTAAATGGCATCAGCTATACGGTAAGGAATTATAAGAACAACAATGTTTCGCTTCATGAATATAAATACATTTAGTAACATACATAGCATAGGTGGCGGCAGTATAAGCAAAGGGGAAAAGAATAGTTAGTTCTAATACAAAATTAATTAGATCTTAAGCATTTCCTAGTCTATTTACAATGACAAAAGATAGATTACTTGAATTAGGAAGGAATGCAATCCTGATAACAAATCAATCTAAAAAAATTCATAGTTTTTTATTGTGTGTAACGTTTTCATCTGAAATGGATGCTGAAAAAATCTAGGTTGGAGTTTACCCTCGTATTCATGGTAAAAAGATGTTCGTTTGACGTAACTTGCTAATAATATTCCTGGTCACAGAGGCCCCGTCACTGTGTGATCCCAATTTAATGAAGTATTTGGTTTCCAAGAAATAAAGAAACTCTAAGCAACGACATCATCAGCTATTTCACTTCAAAAACACTTTATCCTTCATGGTCTTCATTATGCTAACTATAGGTATACCTCATACCGTAAAAATATTGGCACAGTACGTCTGCGTTGTTATCAGAACCTTTGACACATTTATACTTTTTTTTAAATTTCACAAGAAACACATCGTCACCGTTTAGCTCAAGCTTCACAATCAGTTGTAAATGAGTGAAAAATTCTGGATAACGTGCCTTTGTAAAGGGTAGCACATCTTCAAAGATTTCTCAACGAAGTTAAGAAAGAACCATCGTCATTCTTGTTATAAAACACAGCGATAATTTCTCAAACAATAGAAATTTGTAACAACGTAAATCGTCATCATCGTCGTCAGGAGTCTTTAGAATTTTCCTGAAAAATAACTGGAGTTTCATAAAAGACGGTATTATTTTCAATCTCCAATACTGATAAAAAATCATTCAACCATAAAAAGTCATAACCACGCACATCGTCATCATCGTCGTCGTCGGAGTCCTTGGGTTCTTCCCCCACGCCCCAGACGGTGAGGCGTCGGATATGCGGCGTGGCGTTCAGGCAGAGCGCGGGGCTCGAGAAGGTCGTACAGGAGGGCGCGACGCTGCACTCGCCGAAGTCGTACGACAGGAACAGTCCAAACAACTCCACCCGCCCACCAAAGCCCTGAGCTCCCGCGGTAGTCAAATACAAACATACATGGGTACAACAACATCAATAATTGAGATTGAGTTCTGTTGCATAGAGAATGAATTTTTACCACGAGCTTTACTAGATACAAATTTAATACAAACATTCATGAGTGCATGAAAATCAATAATTAAGATTGAGTTCTGTTGCATAGAGAAATAATTTTTACCACGAGCTTTACTAGATAAAAATTTAAGTTACCAGCAGTTGGTTCAATCTCTGCACTGCAAGCATTTGTTTAACATTCAGCGTTGTACAAACATCATAGTTGAGCCTATTTAATTAATAAACCTGACTGATTCGATATTTTTGCCCAACAGAACTCATTACACATCTACACACACAATACATATCAGGTTAGAGCACAGGTACATTATATTTTCAGTAATATAATAAATATTTTTCGTCAGTTTGTCCCAATTTCAGTATTAATATATCAATATCGTTGTTATCTTGAGACTTGAGAACAATTAATTTATCAATATCATTCTTATCTTCAGACTTGAGAAAATATGTCAGATATTCAATGCCCTCAGAACATTTTGTCAAGCATTGTAATAGTGAGATATACTTGGCAATATCTACTACATATAACGGTAAGGTCTACCATGGTTTTCATTCAATTTCAGCGGTGACGGGACATGGCAATACATTATAGCTCAAAACGAAAAAAAATGGAAATTTCTGAGTATTAATAAAACTAAATGCGAACTCATTCCATATATTTGCATCACTCACAAGACCGTTGGGCATGGTGTTGTTTTCTAGGAAGTTCAGGTACTGGTAGTTAGTGTTGTAGCCAGTGCTGCGATATATGCCGGCGTACGGATTAATGCTGAATAAAAAGCTCTCAGCAGTTCCTGAAACATCATTAATAATGATGGCGAGATATTTTTGCAGAGGAATCTGGTAAATATTTCATTCGAGGCTCATCATTCAACACAAACCTGACATGTAGCAACATCAATAAACGAGATGAAAATTAGCAAACGAAGATAATAAAGAACACAAGTTGGACGACAAGCTCAATTAAATAAAACAAAAACAGCATTGGTTTACTGACCATGGAATTGAGGACGAACTTCCCACGAAGCTGAAGCAAAGCCTCCGAATTTGTTCCCTTCTTCATCCTCCACAACAACAAGAGTAGGACCTTTGCCCACTATCTGAGAAATATAGACAATAGCTTAATGAATATAAAGATCATATTATCAGCTAAGTTTAAACTTGCTGTACACAGATTCATTAGGTTTGGTCATATTTTTTTAGATGTTTTAGTTTATAAGGTGACGAAAAAACTTGTGATTATGATATTTAAACAAGACATTCTTGAAAGTAGGCACTAGACCATGGTGTCGTTGAAAAAAAGTAAAAAAAAAATTGAAGCATCCTTGAATAAATATGAAAGAATATGAAAATAATACAGTTTAATACCCTTTAGAGCAGAGTAGAAACTGGAGAATTAAAAAAATTGATTCCGGGGAAATGTGAGCACATTTCTAATAATCAAATGAAGAGACAGGAACCTGCTTCATGAGGATGCTGAAGCTGTCGCCGTGCGTGTGGTTGCAGAACAGCAGCCGCCACTGACAGCGCAGTTGCTGAGGCAGAGCTGTGTTAAGCAGCAAGATATCTGCTGCACTCAGGCCCACGTGCATCTCCTGGTGACACAAATAATTGGAATAGAGAACACTTCATTTACGCTAATATTTGTAAAACTTGGCACAAACTACAGCTAATAGAGCAACTTAATGCAGCTTTACATTTGATTTCAAGTTCCAATTGAAGAAAAATGGAGGAAAAGAATCTTTAGCCACATCGCGCCTAATTGTGAACACTATACGTCACGAGGAAATATATATGCAGAAGATAGTGATCAAATCTCAATCACGGTGAGCCCACTGTAATAAATTATATAAACTTGGAGTTTTTCCGAAGAAATATACCAAAAAATAAATATAAAAAATAATAGCATTGCAAACTCTAGGTAATTAATATACATCTAACAAACTCTGATCTCGACACTACCTACTTAGCTCGTAACAATTTTTTCAAATTCTCGGTATACAATCTTGTTGCAAAGTCCTCATAAATATGAGAAGATGATGCACCTTTGTTGCTATGATGTCAGGAAATAGTGACGGCGGCGAGGTAAGGGCAGGCAGCACAAGGGAGCGCATTACAGTCACTTGCACAACACCATACACGGCAGCGTGACCCTGCAGCCATCGCTCCACACCCGCCTGGCTCAATGCTGTGCTCGGCAGCGCCATTGTCACCGTCTGCGAATAGAAAACTGGCTCATTCCTATTCAAACTCTATGTAAAGTTCAGAACTACAGAACAATGAAGTAGGTTAACAGTTGGACTTGAAGTTTAATACTATTTGTGACTTACACCTAACATAATGCTGTTAGGTTCTGGTTAGGTTCTTAAAAATATAACTCAGTACTCACTGCAGTGAGTGACAGAGAGCGCATTTTCTCGTCGACAAATACGCGAAGTCACGGATGGACAAACGGACATGGTGAGCACAATAGTGATTTTTTTTCATAAAAGAGAAAATGCACTAGAAACTCATACTGTTTTTTTTTTTAGTTCAAGAAAATTCACTCACCTTTTTATTTAAAGCATCAGCAAACAGCAGCGAGTTCAGCCATTCACGAGCCACGCGGCCGCTGCTGTCAGCATCAGCAGACAGTCTAGTGGCTGGTGCAACTGAGGCAAGCCGGCAGTAGCGCTCAATCACCAGTGCAACTGCCTGTCAGTAATGAGATATTTTTACTGAATATGAAGAAATGAGATGAAGATCCACCAGGTTACTATTTTCGAAAATATAAATATTTTATTTTGAGTATAATTCATAATTTATGTTTCATAACATTGACATGTTATGTATAGAAAACCTAATCATTAATGAAATACTCAGTTATCCTAATTCGGAAAAAAAGTTTAATAGTTACAAGAACTTCTTACATGTTAAAAATTCAAAAAAATTTTATTTAAATTTTGAATCTTTTGATAGCAAAACATTTTTAAACACTACGAAATCTTACCTGCACAAGATCATTGGACTGAACTGATCCCCCATCACTGCCAGACAACAGGCACAGCACTGCAGTCTGAATAGCACGCAATGAATGGAACAAAATTAAGACAGAAACAACAGAAGCAGAGACAGGCAGCAATACAAACAGCTACCTATGGTTAATCAAACAAATTTGAGTGCATATAGGTATACCAAATGTTATCAATATCATGAATGTGTTGAGTACATAACCTACAGAACTTCAATCATAATGCGTACATTACATATTTTGTGAGAACAGCTGTTTATTCTGTATATATATATATACCAGCACTTGAAATTGTAATCACTCTAGTCACTTAATTACTGACCTGAATGGAGGGGTCAGGATTAAGGATTTCAATGAAGACCTGCAGGAGTTTTGCAGACGGCAGTGCCCTGCCAGTAGCAGGAGGTTGTTTATCAGTACCTCGGTTTGGCCACTTTTTCAGTAGTGCCAGGAAACGCTCAGCCAGCATCTGGCCATCTCCATGGCTGGACACCTCCTGTTGTATGATTCACCATGTTAGCCTCTTAACACTAACTGAAATTGTTAAACAAAAGAATTTCATTAAGGAATAAAATTGAAATATAATTAAGCAATTCACTTACATTTTGAGCAAAAATTTGTAACATGACTAATCAATTCAGTAAACATTGCATTGACACACAATTTTTTTAGATCTTCAGCTTTGTCCAAACACCAATGCCAGAAAATGACTGTCAAAGCAAAAATTCTACAATAAAAACCTATTAAAATTATTGTCTTCTGCTAAACTGTGGATATAACTTAAAAAAATGTTATTTTGACAATTCTCTAACAAATCTAAGTGCTTTTGAGAAGAATAATACAAAGAAAACAGTGACGCATCAACATTGTTGATCAGATAAAGATAATTCATGTTGATTTGGAATGGTGCACAGTTACCCAAGAGCAATATCAGCAGACCAATGGTTATGGGTTTTGGTGGGTGTAGTGCTTCCATTGTGCTTGCAAGTTGTATTATGAGACATGCCTGTAGTTTAGCATATATGAGACCTTGCAAGGCAGTACAAGCTTGAAAACAAGTCATGAGGCAAGAGGTGCTCCAAAGGACTATGATTATATAGTGTGAAAATCTTATCTGGCACATATGTACTGTAGTCCCTTCTGAGTTCTGCATCTTGTGTGGGGTTTGATCTTTTGCAGTTGAATGTTGTGACTATTCACTTACTATCTGTATTGTTTGAGGCTAGAACCCTAGGTACATAGTTGCATCTGTTTTGAGCCTTGTTGCAGCTAGGACCTTTCACAGTTGCTATTGTAATTTATTTTTGCGATACCTGAGCTACATTCCAAATGTAGCTCAAACAAATAACAAAAATAACAATATTTTTGGAGTATTATGGAATCTTCAGCTTAGTATTGATTTAGTTAAATTACAATGATTTCTTGGCCATTGTTCATTGTGAAAATACGATAAAAGATTAGTTAACAAATTTCATTGTCAATAATTAAAAATAACTTTCTAAAAAATATTCTAGGTGTTCATTTCTTAATAGCAAAAGAAATTACAGCTTGGCAGAACCATCTTTCTGTGGCCTTAAAGAAAAAAATCTGTCAAGTTAGCACATGAACTGTGATGAACAAAGCAATTTCTACTTTGCAAAGGGGTTACATATGGTGGTGATGGTACAATAATTACTCATCATCAATATAAAATTAAATGGAATCAAACCATTTGTTGAATAAAACATAAAATTTTAAGGCAATGAAAGTAACAAAATTACTCAAGTCAGGTGAAAGTGAGAGGGGAAACACATTATTACTCTTCTACTAACATAGAATGTAGAACTTGAGGTAGTCAGCAGAGGTACCATTAATTCAAGCCTTCAGAGGGCACATAATTTGCAATTTTTGAAAGTGGTGAGGTTATTAGCATTGCAGGTAAAATTTAATACAGATTTATTAAAAAATAAATGGGTTAAAATGATAAGGGCATTTTAATATCTGTAAATGAAAATATTCCATTTAGCATCAATTTTATTAAACTAACAGATTAGACAGATAGCATGCCTAAGTAAAAATTGGGCAGAGGCCACCTGATAGGCTGATACCTGTGAATTAGACCAAAACCAAAGCTAATTCAAACATTTTACTTTCTCACCAATATTTTTTCTTCAGGCAAACAGCCTTCTGTGGTTATTTGCATGATGTGTGCATTTATCAGTTTTTCTTCTTCAATTGACATCCATAATGTGTGCGAATCACTCGAGAGAGATTTTTTACTTGCCTCAGCTCCCATTGCAAATCAACCTTTGACTTTGTCAGGACTCAGGAAGCTAAAAATAAAGTTAAATTGCTAAAGTAGGTACATACTACATAGGATAGGACTAGGAGTCAACAAGTCATAGGACAACAGTTCAGCAAAGCAAAGGATAAAGAAATATATTATTTAATCAAAGCAGGTCCTGCATCAGACTCAGATGCTAAGTGAAAAAGAATCTTGAGATCTTGACCCTGTCATGCTCACCATCTGACATCTCACACGATTAGCAAACAAGAGATTTTGTAGAATCAGTTCATTTTTAATTTCCTCCTCTACTCAAGAGTTAAACCAATAACATAATCATAGGTATCATATCATAGGTACTGCTACTCAGTGCATACATATGCTGCGCATGAAAATGCTGATATCCATGAAATTAAACTTCGCTGGTCGTCTACGAGTCTCTACTCAATTACTCATAAGTCATAGTCTCATTACTCTCATAGCCTAGGGTTCAAAAACAAACTTAAGGAAGTGTCTAAAAATTGAAAAAACTCTTTGCTCTGACACTATAGGTAAGTGAGGTGACCTGTGACTCAGTCAGTGTGTCGTGTGTGTGCGTGAACGTATCACATTAATTAAGTTGATAGTAACTTCTGTGATGATGCGTGTGTGATCCAGAGGTAGACATCTTCATATTGCTATGATTTTCATCCATCAATACGTCTCTACCGTCCATAACCAGCACCAGCTGAATAACCTTGCACGCTTCAGCGGGGACGACTGAAATAACCCAGCATTGCCCAATACCAGCATAATTTTCATACTTCACCCCGTGCGCAAGCATGCTGCAGAGCAAATTAGCCAACATGATTACTTGCTGAAAGTCACAGGGACTAAATTCCTTCATGGATGTAAACCAGCGAGCCAATGACCTGCAAGCCGCCAAAACAATGGTCGTAACCCACACGCTAAACCCCAAAAGATGAGGCATTGCTTGTTTCAAGCTGGTGTGGCGAGATGAGGCAAGTAAGAACAGCTGCATAGGTATTAGACTGACTATTTCTATTGCATGTAGACGGTTGGCATTGGCTTTTGGGCTGATTTAAGAGTTAAATTTTTGGGCTACGGCAGCGCTCCCCTTCAGCGTAGTTCACGAACAAAGTTTGTTGCACTGGCCACTGAGTTGCACGATGCCACCAACTGCCACTCAGGCTGCCACTGCCAGGCAAGAATCAGTCAGTCAGGCCCGGTGGCATTATCCGTCCGGTGGACCGGTCACCGGTGCCTTGTGGAATTGAAGGAATATAAAGCCGGTACACGCTCTCAGTTTTACAACGATTTCTGTGCGCAGTTCAAATTTCAAAACGTTTCGTGTGGACGGGAAAACTGCGCAGTTTTGAACTTCAAATTTGGGGACGACTGAAATAACCCAGCATTGCCCAATAACAAGCTGGTGTGGCGAGATGAGGCAAGTAAGAACAGCTGCATATGTATTAGACTGACTATTTCTATTGCATGTAGAGGGTTGGCATTGGCTTTTGAGCTGATTTAAGAGTCAAATTTTTGGGCTACGGCAGCGCTCCCCTACACGTTACACGTTTGGTTTACACGTTTTTCGTTCATCGAAAACAATGCTCTGTAGCTCAGATGTCGCTGGCCGCTGCAACTGTACAGTCTTTGCGCCGGCTTCAAATTTGGGGAGCGCTGCCGTAGCCCAAAAATTTGACTCTTAAATCAGCCCAAGAGCCAATGGCAACCCTCTACTTGCAATAGAAATAGTCAGTCTAATACCTATGCAGCTGTTCTTACTTGCCTCATCTCGCCACACCAGCTTGAAACAAGCAATGCCTCATCCCACAAACTGATACTACAAACGGATTACGCCCAATAGCTCCTACCCCAATGATTTAAGCCCATACCATCTCTTCGTACAAATGCCGTAAGCCACAGGGTCCGCAGACCGCACCGGACTGTCGCATCACCTTACCCACTTCGCAGGCGTAAGCCCAGCCCTAACGCTCACCAGCATCTTCTACCTCCACACTTACCCCATTCTCTCCACCTTTCCGCGATACCGCGAAGGGGTTAGGTTAGGTTATGTTTGGTTAAACTTCTTCCGCAAGCTGGTACCGAAAGGAGGGGGAGCAGGGGGTAAGCGTGGAGGTTTAGCCTCCAGAAGAACGGACAGGCTGGAGAGGTAGCAGTGTGGCGCAGGGCGTACCGAAAGGAGGGGGAGCAGGGGGTAAGCGTGGAGGTTTAGCCTCCAGAAGAACGGACAGGCTGGAGAGGTAGCAGTGTACTGATAGCACTGTGGCGCAGGGCGTTCTTTATCGAAAGCGGGGAAGGGGCTAGGGTGCATGGAATAGAAATATTTTGGGGTTTAGCGTGTGGGTTACGACCATTGTTTTGGCGGCTTGCAGTTCATTGGCTCGCTGGTTTACATCCATGAAGGGATTTAGTCCATGTGGCTTTCAGCAAGTAATCATGTTGGTTAATTTGCTCCGCAGCATGCTTGCGCACGGAGTGAAGTATGAAAATTATGCTGGTATTGGGGAATGCTGGGCTATTTCAGTCGTCACTTTCAGCACTATAACCCTGGGGGCCTGGAGGCGGCATTGTGGGGGCTACTTGCCTGACCACTTTCAATAATTGTTTGACTCCTATCAGTGGAAATTGAGGCCAAGGAAACTTGTAATATTAACTAAAATTAGATGAAAACTTAGGTGTGGCAAGATAAAATTGGTCGGGTCAAAATAAACAACAGCAATCGATATGAATTTATTTTGCCCTTTCGTGACGGCAATGTGTTTTACAACTTTTTATTTGTATTTTTCTACAGAATCATCATGAACTTGGACCGAATATTGCATCTCCGTAAAATAATTAAATATATGTTAATGGTAAAAATTATATATTTGGGACTAGAAAATCCCGGTAGTATACGGTTCCAAACGGGGGGGCACAATTTGCGACATCACTGATTTTGATAAAAAAAAAATATTTTCGTAATATTTTTTGTTAGTAGTTGAATAATATCACAAACTTCCTTTGGCAAAAGGGTGTAATAGCTTATATAATAACATATTCCAAAAAGAACAAATATTAATATTCCTTTAGATTGGACATATGTAGGCGCAGGAGGACAAAAAGGACAAAAAAGGAGTGTGGTTAGGGAACCACTTTTTGTCAAAAGGACAAAAATTTAGTAGAGAGTGTTCAAAGACGCGCAACAAGGATAGTTCCGGGCTTGAAAGGCAAGTCCTATGAGGAAAGATTAAAGATTAACATAACATAACATAATGATGTCGGCGCTGAAATGTAGGCCTGATGTGGCCTGTCGCCGATTCTTTTCCTTTTCGTGCCTTGTTCATAGATCTAAACTCGTGTCATTTGACCGGATCTTTTCATGACTGGCGATAGTTTGAAGTAGCTACT